AAAGTTACTTGAAAGAAGGGACTGCATGTATATTCATATGGTAAAAGAACATCCCGGCCAAGAAAAAATTATATTTTTTGTGAGTTTCAGACTTCACTATAATACCATTCAATACCAAGACAATAGAACATTTTTACCAAGTTCTGAAAGGAGAAAAAAAAAAAAAAAAGAAGAGTGAGAGTAATTTAATACCTGGCCTCTCCTCCTTTCAGTGGACAGACATTGTCACGTACACAAGGCTAGAACCAGCTCAGCCTGAGAAGTAATCCACGCTTGTGTTTCACTTTAGAAATGAACATTAGCTTAAGATATTTTAAACGTTTCACATCATGGAAACTCAGTTGGAATATAGAAGATAAAACAGAATGTGTTTTTTAAACCTACCATTTAATCAAAACATATGGAGCAACGGAAAGCGTGATGCTTAATAATAATTAAATGAGACTCTGCATAAAGTAGCTAATTAGCGCCAGGTGCAGGAAACATTAAGAGCTCTCAGGCGGGAGATGATTACCTCAGGTCATGGGGTAACAGCTTGTCCAAAGAAAAGGGATGCAAGAAATAAAAGTCTAGGTCTCCTTTCAAGGTACACTTAGAACATCTTTTGCAAAAAGTGCATCCAAACATGAAAAGGTTCATACATAATACCTTTTAGGTTTTCTGATTTAAAAAAAACTGTGATAGTTCCAATATCAAATTATGTACAGCACATTATATTTTCCAAATTTCAAGTTGGGATGGGAGATGGGGGCATCAAAATATCTGTTACATTATTCTTTAAGTAACGTCAGATTTACAGTTCATCTTGAATGAATTTTCCAATCACAAACCTTTTTTTTTTTTTGACTTCTTGGTGGTCTCAGAATAAACTGCTTTCAAACATGCTTTAACAAAACTTTGCTTCAACTCATAAAATGGAACTTTCTAAAATGGCATATTTAATTACTGTGGTTAAGCCGTTGAAATATTAAAAAAAAAATGTCCCTATAGATCTCTGTCTAGAGTAGTGGCTGCTGCTTTTAAAAAATAATTTTTAAATGGTGAATTTTGCCAAAAAACATGTGTACTTCTTATTACTTCTAAATTCTTGTGTGGCCAATTCCATTTTTCCATCAAAAGGAAACACGCTTTCGGGTCACTAAGTTAGAAAATACTTAGAAGTTTCCATCAAGTTGTGTATTGTCAGTTTGTTTTTGCTATTTTAAACAAGTTTCACGTGAAGTACTTGGCTTTCAGTTTCATCCTCCAGGCAATCAGCATCCAGCATATGGTACACACGTTACCAAACGGGGCAGGGCAGCTTCCTAAGCAAGGCAGCTGGTAGATTTGACAGTTCCTTTCCAAATTACTCATCATGTTTTGAGTTGCTGCTAGGAAAAAATGTGTTGCCCATCTCCAAAATAGATGTTCTTTTTTATTTTTAAGCTCGGGAGAGGCTTCCAATAAAAAAATAAGACAGATGGGTATAGGAAGCAAGATATTTATCCCTATTTAGACCATTTTCTTCTGTCAGTTTCCTCATCAGAAGAGTTTTCCAAATAAACAAATGAATATTTCAGCATTCATAGTTAACTACGTCCTACGATGTACTTTTCTTTTCGTATAAAGAATGCCTTTGGAATAGTAAAATGTCAAAACCACAGAAAGGGCTTGTGGAGTTTTAATTATTAAAGTGATAGTTGCCCAGATTTTGTGGCAGCCGGCAAATATGAACATTAGATTAAAGAGCTCGTTTGGACCCATTGGTGACGTTGCAGATGCACAAGTGAAATCCGTAAAACGCTTTCCTCAATTGGCAAGTATGTGAATGTCTGCCTTCAGTAATACCTCCCACACTGGGGCGTCCTCTAAGTTCACCTAGAGGAAAACTCTAAATACAGGCCAGAGGAGTTTATTCCAACTGCGATTGTATAGAGTTGCAAATTCTTTAACGCAAATGCATTGCATAAGAGTCATCCATTTAGACAAAATTCTCAGTTTGGGGGTTTGTAATTATTTCTAACGGGGGCTTTCTACACAGACCATCAAAGGTTTCATCCAGTGAGTAATGTAGTGATGGTTCCTGAATCTCTAAGTATTCCAGAATCCGCAACGATTTCTAATTTTCATTCAAAAACTCTAGACACAAACTATGCTGGGAATTTTCTCTAAATGTTATATACTTGGTACATATTTCTTCACCTAATTTATATTGGAACTAAAAGCTGGTTTTTCTCCCCTTTCTCTGGTCTCTACCTTGCAGAGTACCCTTTATGCTATTGCTAAGAGCTTCAAAGTTGAAAAACATGCTTTTTAGTGCATTAACAAATATAAATAATAATGTAGTTTTTCTACAATTTTAATATGTAATCATTATTTTACTTGACTTATACTTTCTGATCATACAATAAATGTTCAGATATCTATGTTCTTGAATTAAAATTGATGTAAGAAGTAGATACAAAAAAATGAGGTTAATTGCCTTATTATGTCTCTTTTTTGGTAATCCAATTAAAACATATCGAACACTCAGTTTTTAAAATTAATAGTAGTTGTCAAGTTTAAAGTATAGTTCTTTATATTTCTGAACATTGTCATAAGTCATTTGAGATAGATTTATGAAATGACAGACTTCCCCAGAATAAAGTACAATGTGTCAAGAAGCTATTCTTTAGTTCCAGTCCAATGGGGATTTAAGAAATCATTTCAAACAGGAATAAAAAATGGAAATAACTTTTGAAACATCTTGCAGATGACAGATACGTCTCAATACTCTGTGCATATCACATTTTGAAATCAATGTACTTTTTCCTATGTTTACAGATTTTAAATATATTGGAAATTATTATTAATATACTATTTATTCTATGTTCTGAAAATTTGTGAGATAATATAAATCAAGTGGTCATGGTATATTGGCATAAGGTTTCTGTGTATAAAGATCTGCAATTTAAATGTGACTGTTCCTTTTCATTTGAAAAGTCATGAGCTTATAAGTACAACTGCTGCCAATGCAAAACCAACCTGTATTTTCAAATACCTACTGTCATCCTTTCTATTGAGAAATGTTGTCAATCATTCATCTATTTTCATATCTCCTATAAATACTGCAGTGCTTAATATCTTTAAAAAACTTCTAAATAAGGTTGCAAAGTTTGTGTATTCCATAGTCATCTGAAAAGGGGTCAGATCATTCTCAATCTTTCCACTTAATACATTTTATTATATATATAATCTATAACATTGTTATATATAATTTATATATAAATGTTCCCACTTATTTTATTTTACTTTATGTAATAACGTGCTTTCTTATTTGACACATAAATGAGTGAATTTCTGAACCTGAAAACTAGCTCACACATGTTGAGAAAAAGAAATCTGACAGAGTGGTCATGTAGTCTACCATCAGCTCTTTCTTTGTCTATTGCTGCATCATCTTATTCTTTCTCATTCTTTTCTTAATTTTGTATGTAATTCAAAAGACACATAAAATTACCATTAATAGGAATCCTTACAAATACAAGAAAATAAGGCTTAAAAACGATTACAATATATCCTTCAATTTTCAAACTTCAGTTATACAAACCACAACTGATTTCCTCGTTGTTTCAAAAAACATCCCACAGCTTATGATTCAATTAATTGTGAGCCATAGCTTTATTTCAAAAATATTAAAATGTGAAGTAATGTCTCAGAAACTAGGCATACGATAGCTACCAACATTGGCAGACAAAATGCCTTTTAGGTATAAAATAAATCATAAACTCAGTCCCCTCCGGCAACAGCTTTGATAAGTCAGTATTATTCTCTCCATTTTATAGAGGACGTCACTGAGGATAAGGGATATTAAATTACTAATCAAAAGGGAGTATTGCTCAGAAACACCAGATCAGAAAGTCAGATTGGGAAACCAAAGTATATTTACCGTGTTTGCTGACGATGTGAAAACATACTGTCTAACAATAAAGTCCATGACTGTTTCAACCAAAGGGGGAAAAATGTGTGAGTCTGAACCAACATATCTATCAAGTGTCAATAATGTCAAGCCAGCACATTAAGAAAGCTTTTGAAGCTAGATGGACAATTTATAAAGCCCTCAAAATTGAATAAGTTGTTATTAAAGCATCTTTTGGTATATTGAAGAAGCAGTGTACTAAATTTGTTCACTTTTTCATCCATCCGTTTATGCATCCATCTATTCATTTACATGTACAATTCATTTACAATTACCAAAATTTATTTAAACATAGTTATTGGTGGATTAAACTAAAGCTTAAAAGAGACGCAGAAAGCTTATTAAGTCAATGAATTGAAATATTTTATCTTCCAAATGTTTACAAATAATTACCACTTAAATATCTGCAAAAGCAAGCTGTTAACTTACTTTAATTTCACAAAGCCAAATGAAAAATAAGATATATTAAAACCACAAACACTAACTTTTCATGCCAAAGAACACAGTTCCACTGTCCCTCCCCCACTTAGGGTAAGCATGTACTTAAAGCATTTTACTTAATTTTGTTTAAATAGGCATGCAGGCAATACATATGCAGCAGTTAAAAATATCCCTAAAATACTGGGACTCTGCGTAACTTAAAAGAAATGTGTAAAGTCGTAGAACTTTTTAATTTAATGATAACTTTTTATCTTAACATCAAACATAACTAATAATTGATTATTTTATACATACAAAAAAGGATAGTGATGCTTTCTTATTGTATCCTAATACAATATATTTTTCTCCTATAAGAAAAGCTAGCAGTCCATAAACATAAATCATTCATTTATTCTCTTACATAAAAATTGTTACCTACTTAGTTCTACGTAGCAAAAGTCACTACAAAATTGTTTATCAATGTGATTAAAAAAAAACAGGAGAAACTTTTAGAGCAGACAGTCTCAAGTACTATTTTAACACGGGTAAAATAAATATATTCCACTCTGTCAAATCTTACTACGCATGAGTTATGAAGCACTGTGCAAAGCCATGCTTAGTGGATAGAAGGATGGCTACTTACCAACAGGGCGAGCTGTAGACATTACAATGGTGTGGTGAGAACATAAAAAAGAAATTAAAAAAAAGAAAGAAAAATTATCAGAATGCATGATGTGTAATGTTACATTTAAGTATGGACAATAGAGTGATTTGTATTCTCACAATTCAAGTATGACCAAGATGTCTGGGTCTGATAAAATTGAGCGTTATAAATATAATTCTAGGAAAATAATTACTTTGACTCCGAGGACTGACTAGAAGCAATTTGAGAGATATTTTCGGTAAAGTCTTATCATCACTTACTATAGTTATTATTTCAAAGATCTTGAGTTAAACAGCCTTGTGTTACCCCAAAGTTAAAAACCTGATGAATATCACTATTCAAGTCACAGACTAGCAAATGTCATGTCAATAAAAGAAGCCCTTGCTGTCTGATTTAAATAGCAATTGGATTTTAAGCATGGTTAGTCAGAACCATTACAAGGACTGCAGAAAAGCCCCTGACGCTGCTTTTCAGTCAGTAATAAGTTAAGATCACATCACTTTTCATCCATGGACAGGGTGGATGAAAATATAACAAATAGGTTGGAACATCCTTAGAGATTTCAACTCAGTAGCTCCCTAACTACTGTTAAGCTTTTTCCTTCTTTTGGCAGAGGGCAGGGAACAATGACTGACAAGTTGATTCTTGTTCACACTGAGAACGGCTTTCAAACTGCTGCTTCAACAAATTATCATTTTTTTATTATACCATAACTTTCAATCACTAAAATCAGTGGTAATAGGCTGCCCCTGTTATTAATGCAAAGACATTGTAAGAGATACACATGGGCTTCATAATCCTTTCCTTAAAAAGAATAACACTCTATGAGTTTAGATGGTAAACCATTTTATGCAAAAGCAATAGACAAATATTGTAAAACACGTGATCCCGTTATCCAAATGAAGAAACAATATGCTGAGTAGTATAGGAAATTTCATGAAATCTGATATTAAAAACAGAATTTTTTCAACAGTGGTTCGCCCATATCTCAGTAGATACAGTTCTAGCGCATATGTAATGTGACTCTGGAACGTCTCAATGGTTTTGTGTTGATGATGGCTCTCTGGGCAAGATAGGAACCACCACTGAACACGTATTTACACATATTCACTTAACGGATACATCATAATACCAGCTCTGTGCAATCCATAAACATAAAACGTAGTTGTCTCTATGACAGCCATGGTCTCACAATATTGTTCACAATTAAAGCAGGAAAGATTCAGACAACAGGCAGTAAGGCAATTGTAGCAGTGGTATGAAAAGCCTGGTGTAGTGGAACCCTAATGTGTCCTAACATATATGGCGTGTTTGCTATAGCTAGAGGAAAAGAGGAGTAAGTTACCCAGTGTACCATAATTTCTTTCTTTTTGCAGGGGAGTGGGGAGCAGAATACAAGATCAACTATCAAAAAGAGATAACAGACTAACAATGTGAAGTTGTGGCTTATTCTAACAGATGAAGTTTCTCTTAATTTTGCATTGGCAAAATGTCCAGTAGAAAAAGAACTTTTGTTCTTCATCTTTGAATTTGCACTTTTCAGCTTGCCATCTCAAGCTGAATTTCAAACATAATGTTTCCTTTAGAAATGAAAAGGCGTTTTGAGTGTAGGATATTAACAAAAGAAAAAAAAAAAGAAACTGTGGTGAGAAATCATGTTTTAAATGAATAAAATATATGTCTGTCTTATTTTAGGATAGAATAATTCCAAAACATTAAGGCTTTATTGCTCTAGAAACAGTATTATTTTTCCAATGAGATCTTTATGCAAAGCAAATTTAAAAATTTTAAAATGGGGAAAATGTGCTTGCAAATATGCAGTTTGTGTTGTCATTTTTAAGCCATTTAAAAAGTTTTATTAGTAATAAATTATTTGATTAGAATGAAAAGTCTAATCAAGGAGGTCTGTTGTTGACTGGCTTCATTTCTTCCTAATTTTACATTTGCCAAGTCAGCAAAGGGAGCTTCTTGATGTTCAGCCTCACTTTATAGTTTTTTTTTAACCATATTTTTGAAATGGGAAACAACTGAGTAGATCTGTTTCAAATTTTGACAATTAACTCCCTTACATTTTCCCCAACTGGCTAATGTGAATGTTACGATAAAGTTTTAGCAGAAACATCACAATACATTTTTTTGTCCTTGTTACATTAGCAACATTTTATCCAGAAAAAAAACCAGCAGGTGGATGTTTTCAAAATCAGCAAATTAAACTAAACTGTGTCTCTGCATTAAATGGATGAAAATGGACATGGCCTCTTGGGTCAGTTGACCCTGTTCTAATAAAACAATCCAAAGAAAGGCTGCACATTTCATTTATGTGCATAGAAAAATTAGCAAAGAAAAAAAATAAGTCATAGATAACAGTGTTGTCTTTTTTTTCCTGTTAATCTCTTAGCATGAGAAAACCCAAATGCTTTTCCTAATGGTAAAAAATAAATGTTTTTAAACAGTATTTTACTCTATATTATATTGTGTTAAGGAGATCTTTTTAAACACAGTTTTTGAGGTTTCAGTCTTAGAGAGGTGATAAATACCTACCACAAAGAATAAACACTCTAATCCATCTACAGGATATAGATTAGGGGAGAGGCCATTTAAGGTTTGCTGATTTAAAAAAAATAAACCCTATTGAAAAAAAACAATGTTTTCTATTAGTTTGGTAAGTTAGCTTCAGACATCCCCACCTAAGGAGCATGCTTTGTTAAATGAAATGTTAAGCCTGAAACTTTCAGCAAATTATGAAAACAATTAGCTGGGAAAGGTCTTAAGGCAAACAGACCACTTCAAGTCTCACTCGCCCAAGCATTCCAGCATAGAAGCAGCCCTGCCGCTTCTACCAACAAACAACTCCTCACGTTTTCTCACCATTCGTTTAGTCAGCAAATAGTTTTCCAGTGGGACGTTTATTGGCTGGTTGTTTATTATGGTTTTCCATTTACTTTAGAAAAAAAAAGGAAAAGAAAACTTTGGGGATACTTTGGTCTAGTGAATTGTTTTTGCAATAAGCTGCCCAGCAAACATACGACAAACGTATGAAGTCATCCACGTAGAGTGTGGGTTAAATCAAGTGTGTTCATTGCCTTACAAAGGTTATCAGATTTTTATCCTACATAATCCATATATATATCTATATATTCAATTCATATATGATCATAGTCCTTTATGACCTGTGAAGTAATGAAGAGTGAAAATGTTTTTATGCAACTAGCTGTCAATTTTGTCTAATATGTTTTGTATCTAAATTCACACTAGAATGTCTAGAGGAAAAAAAATGGATTAGGTGAAATAAGGATGGAGCAATTGAGCAGCATGAAAAGCACCAACATTTTTCCAGGTGTGCAAAGTGCCTGTCCCCTCATAACAACCTGGAGGTAACTGAGTTTTTCATGATTTGAAGCCTAAATCATAAATCTGGCAAAAACCCTTATTCTTACCACACAAAAAACTAACCTGAGGATCCCTGATACCTTTCCTGCAACTTCCAGCTTCTCCAAACCTTTCTCCTAACCTTCTGAAACCTTCTGGGAGCAAAGGTGCACGAGGGTCTGAGGTATGACTAAGTGGGGTGAGATGTAACTGAGACTCGGAAGAAAGCATGCAGCCAATCGCTTTACCACGAAGGATGAGAGAAGGAGGCACAGTTAGTAGGGGGAGAAAGGATGTGCTCGCCTATCTTTGTTTGATTTTCTCTGAGTGTGAATGATTCCATGGGTAATGTCTATTTCAAGAGTAAGTGTTAAGTGTCCACTTGGTACTACTTGGTACCTTGGACTATATAATTTACCTCCCGTGATCAACAAGTTCCACTGAAAAGACAGTTAATTTATTCTAGTACACTGTAAAGTTAAGCAATGCTTTCTTTCACTTACAAGCAACTCCAGTGAGTCTATAAGTGAACATTATTCCATGGCTGAGGAAGTGCATGACACTCAGAAGGTGAAAGTTATTACTAGAGCAGCACTGACTATTTCAATTATTTAAGGCCACTGAACTTCACAAATCAGTCTCTAAATCAGATTATCTCAAGTCTGGAGAGTGCCTCTGTATTCATTTTCACCTTTGGAAGCATTGTTAGTTTTTTCAGATTGCTGTTTTGAATGCCGACATTAAAAAGAACTTCAAAACAGTATGCTACTAGTACAAAGTGACAAAGTGACAAACTAGTAAACAGAAAACATGAGAGGACCTTCGAAACTGATGACATTTAAAAGCAGTCAGTAGCTGAAAGCAATGGAAATGGAAAGAGTGGTATAGATCTTTTCTGTTTTTAAGATTTACTTTTAAGCCATATAAACTATTAACTTTAAACCATATAAGCAATTTACTAAATAAGAATTAATACTTTTAAGTTACCATTACGTGGAACCAAATAATGAAAATAATTTTATTTCAATTAATGACAGAGAGGACACAAAATCTAGGCATTTTGGTACAACAAAACAGCATAATTCACTATTTTGATTGTAAGTTCACTTACCAATTTAACCAAATACTAGTGTCCTGGTTCAATTATCTTTGACATCTTAAATCTCTTACCTCGGACGGTGAGCGTAGCAGAGGCTTCCATTTTTCCAACCCGATTCTCAGCAATGCACATATAGGTGCCTTCATCTGTACTCATGGTCTTTTTAATTCTTAGTGTGTAATCATCTTTGATGTCATACCTGTGTAGAATATGAACTGGTTTTATTAAATAGTATTCGCTATATGGATAATAACATGAAGTAATCATCTTCCTTTTTCTTTTTAAACTGTATGTTACCTAAACACAAATACATACACACACAAATCAGCCATAAAGTGCAATTACTTAGATTAAAGGTATTGCTAATAAAATCAATTTCATATCTGATCTTCAGCTGCTTGTCAGTTACCTATACTTCACATACGTAGACAATTCTTTCCACTGCACAACTATCAAAGGCATAATTAGCACTTTGACCTTTATGTGGTAGCTCTTGACTACTAAAGAAGATAGACACAATCTCAGTTTCTTGGTGAGTTATATTTCACTAGTTTGTTAGTCACACTGTGTTCAATAATACAATTTATTTTTAGGCACCTTGGATATTAGAGAGCTGAAATATGTTAAAGAACAAAATTTTTCTCTTATTTGTTGGCAAATCGACAAAATAGGCATTAGGTAAAAGAATTAAGGGTGCGTAATCAATTTTTAAATAAGGAATATTAACACCTGAAACATCAGCATGCCTTGGAGTGATTTTTGGAAATGCACATATTCAGCTTGTTCACGTGCATTTATGGTTTTACCTCCACTTCATTAATGAAGCAGACCAACAAAGTGGGTCAGAAAACATAACACCAAAAATTTGGGAGTACTTGCATGAGAATATATTCTTATTTAATTCTAAGAAATTATAATTACACAAACTAAATAATCCAGCTATCATTTTTTTCACATGTGACATTTCCTCCTGATATTTACCAGTGGTTTTTATTTCAAACACACATTTTGCAATAGTTTCTGGTTGGCCACCTTGCTTCTCTTCCTCATATATACCACAGTCAGATCCATGTTTCCAAAATATCATTTTAATTGGTCCTGTCTGCTCAAAACTAGCTGTGATTTCCTATTGTTTTCAGGACAAACACAAACATTCTAGGCTTGCATTTAAAACGACCATAACCAGATGTCTTCTACTTCTAGCTTTAGCTAGAAGAATAACCCAGCTTAACTTTATTAGAGGCTAAGGCATGAATTAATATAGTCCTAATTTATAGACCTTGGCATGACAAAAAGCACTGTCTATATACCAATCATGCCAACTAAACTTAACTACCCTTACTCTTCCATCCTTTAATTCTCATGGTTACTTTTCTGTCTGCGTGCTTTGCCTTAAAATTCTGCTTATTAAATATGTCATAAGTGGTTAGGGAAATAGCTTATCCACTACTTTCTTATCCACTCCCTTCATTGTGAAGCCATCCATTACCATACTATAAAAATCTAATTCCTCCCTTTTTGAAAACTTACTGCTGCGGCAATAAGTCTGCACTTAGTTACATTTTGTATTGTTATCTATTTTGATGAAGGCAGAGATCTTGTCTGCTTCACTCACTGCAATATCCATACTCCAAATATAGAGTTTTTAATATCCAGTAGCATAATCAAATGGTTAAGAGCACAGGCTCAGGAGCAAAACAGCCAGAGTTGTACTCATGGACTTGGCTTCTTCATATGCTTGCAAGGGTTGACAGTATACTTACATTTTCTGGGTCTCTATTTCCTCATTAGCAAAATAAGTGCTAAAGATAACATCTATTTCATGGAGTGAGTGTGAGCTTTAAATGACATATAAAGTACTTAAAACAGGCACACAAAAAGCACAATACATGTTCGCTATTATTATTCCACCTACTAGGTGCTCAAGAAACACTAGTGGTGAATACATGATAAATATCTTGTTTCCTGCTGATATAAAGGCCAACTGTGAATGGCTTCAAGACTCCAATGACTTTACCCATGTATTTATAGTCAAGAGCAATCCTAGGCTAAAATGCATAAAAGAGTATAATACAGATAAACACTTTCTGCTTAACTTTGCCAGCAAAAATGTGAGAAAAACAATTATTTTGATAATGGCTTCAGAAAAGTTACTGGTGACGTATTTAATGTCTAATAAAAATAATCGTTTCTACAGTTAGCCTATGTACTGCATGACATGCTTAGCTGTAAGATAGAAACATTTAAACACTGTATTTTGCAGACATTTCCAATTCATCTAAAATATTGAATTCTTGACTACTGTTTAAGCTATTTATTCTTGTTGTGTGACTTTCAGAAGTCTCTACATTGTCCTATAGCTGAGCTTTTTCAAGAGCTAAAAGAGGGGAGATAAACTTAATGGTCTAAAAAGTTTTCTCTGGATCAATACATATGTGAAGCCATGATTCCAAGTCAATAAAAGATATCTACATTGTACATTATTTCTGATTTGTCATTGAAAAAAAATTGTATGTTATCTCAGTTTAAAAAAAAATGATTGCACACATTGTACAGAGTATCCTCAAAACCTTTTTCTGAATTAGAAATTGTCATTTTATAGATGAGAAAACTGACACCTAGGCAAATAAAATGACCTCCTCAAAGTCATGTTATTAATAAATAGAAAACCCAGAATTAAAACCCTGACTCTGAATGTGTCACTTTCTCATTCTATGTGTACTTCTCTGCAAGTAATAGTTTAATTTTAAAATGCTAACTTAACACAGTAAGACATAGAACTATGTAATGTGCACAGAAAAATAATTTCATATTCAGCAAATATTTAGTTATCGCGTATGACAAAATTTTACTTCACTTTAGAGACATTCATTACAGAGAAGACAACATGGAAACTAAATAAAATGTAAAAGTTATCTCCTGCTTTCTGCTTTAGTTAAAAAAAAAAATGTGTTTATTCTAATCACCAGAAAACTGCAAATCAAAACCACAATGAGATACTATCTCACACCAGTCAGAATGGCTACTATTAAAAAGTCAAAAAATAGCACATGCTGATGATGCTGTGGAAAAAAGAGAATGCTTACACACTGCTGGTGAGAATGTAAATTAGTTCAGACACTGGGGAAAGCAGTTTGGAGATTTCTCAAACAACTTGAAACAGAACTACCATTTGACTCAGTAATCCAATTATCGTGTACATACCCAAAAGAAAATAAATAGTTTCACCAAAAAAACCCCACAAGCACTTGCATATTTATTGCAGCACTATTCATAAGAGCAAAGATACGGAATCAACCTCGGTGCCCATCAACAGTGGACTGAATAAGGAAAATGTGGTGCATATATACCATGGAATACTACACAGTCATAAAAAAGAAGGAAATCGTGTTCTCACTTCTAAGTGGAAGCTGAAAATTGGGTACACATGGATATAAAGATGGAAGAATAGACACCGGGGACTCCTAGAGGAAAGAGAGACGGAGGGGTCAAGGGCTGGAAAACTATCTGCTGGGTAGTATGCTCTCTTCCTGGGTGATGGCACAATTTGTACCCCAAACCTCACTGTCACACAATATACCCATGTAACAAACCTGTACATGTACCTCCAAATCTAAAATAAAGGTTGAAATTTTAAAAAAAATTAAAAGTGTTTATTTAAAAATTACAAAATACATAATATTTGAACCCAAACTTAGCCTGAAATCTGACTTCCTGAGATGTTTTTTATCATTTTAAAGGAAGGTGGAAACAAGAATAGGAATGAGATTTTGTTTGTTTGTTTTTTAATTAATGGTACGTTGATCGGGGATACAAGTAATTGTGCATTCTGTGATTGCATATTACCTTCCTTGTGAAAAGTTAACATTAACTATTACTTGGGAAGAATAAAATGAATTAGTCTTAACAACTAATAAAAGAGATGACCTTTCAAAGAGACTGTGCCATTAAAATCAAACAGCAAATCTATTTTTTTCCTACCTATAGAACAGGTTTTCAGATATAGATTGTAAAACTGTGGCCAAGGCCAATAGTCTGGTGACATGGCCCAGGTTTGTTAGAAAACGTGTAAGTACGGAAGGTAACTAAATCCATTTCCAGTGAGACAGGGATGTGTTGGAGTAAAAAGAAGTTTTGGGTAATAGTTTTTAACGGTCTTGCATATCACAGTGCCCAGCATAGTTCACAGGAATTAGTAGATGCTCTTCAACATTGCCATCTTTTCATTTCCCTTGATGATCACTGACGTTTGAAAAGATTATAATAAACATTCCATTATTTTATTCAAGACATGCTGATGACACATCTATGCATTGCATCCAAATTTGGGGATACATGACATGATAGGATTCAGAGCCTAGTGAAATGATGTCTGACTCCACATTGGGGTAGATCAGAACTATCTCCGAGGCTCTCTCCAGCTAACACACATTTTCTGGGGCCGTGTCTTGTCTTTCTCCAATTAAAAGTAAAAGCTACAATGCATATCTTGCTATGTCCCATCACACTGGGATGTTGTAATTTAAAAACAAACAGGCTTTGAGTACTTAGTTATTGAAATGCTCACAATCTTTTAAATTCTCATTTCTCACTGAATCTTTGCCTGAGGAAAGACTGCAAATATTATCAGCAGTTTATATGATGTATTTATATGAGAATACTTTGAATATATATAAAAGGATTGACTCGCTAGGCTAAATGAAACCTTTAAAAGTTCACTTTCTGCAACCGTCCATCAACACTTGAATCCTATCTGCAACACGCAACCAATCAGTCGTCCAGCTTGTTCCTATGACAAGTGGTCTATTCTATCTTCAAACATCTCTATTAGAAGATCTTCTATGTATGATAACATAAAACATTTCTTCCCAAAGTTACTACTAACAGTACTACTCCTTGTGCCAAACAGAAAAGTATACTCTCTCTCCTACAAGAGAGCTTTTTCAATTTTGGGTCTCTTATGAATTATCTCATCTTCAGGTCAACTCTTCCTAACAACAGCAACCATATACTGTACAATAATCCCCCTTTATTCAGATGGAATATGTTCCACGACTCCTAGTAGATGCCTGAAACCACAGATGGTACTGAACTACAAATACACTACACGAGACAGTCAATCTGATAACCAAGAGGGCTCCTAAGTGACTAACTGGTAGGTAGTGTGCATAGCGTGGATACGCTGGACAAAGGGATGAT